GAGTGACTGACAGGGAGCAGGGGCGGGACTGAGAGTGACTGACAGGGCGAAGGGGCGGGACTGTGAGTGACTGACAGGGAGCAGGGGCGGGACTGTGAGTGACTGACAGGGGAAGGGGCGGGACTGAGTGAATGACTGGGCGCAGGGGCGGGACTGTGAGTGACTGACAGGGAGCAGGGGCGGGACTGAGAGTGACTGACAGGGCGAAGGGGCGGGACTGTGAGTGACTGACAGGGAGCAGGGGCGGGACTGTGAGTGACTGACAGGGAGCAGGGGCGGGACTGAGAGTGACTGACAGGGTGCAGGGGCGGGACTGTGAGTGACTGACAGGGAGCAGGGGCGGGACTGTGAGTGACTGACTGGGGAAGGGGCGGGACTGAGTGAATGACTGGGCGCAGGGGCGGGACTGTGAGTGACTGACAGGGAGCAGGGGCGGGACTGAGAGTGACTGACAGGGAGAAGGGGCGGGACTGTGAGTGACTGACAGGGAGCAGGGGCGGGACTGTGAGTGATTGGGGGCGGGGAATGTGCAATGGCTGCTGCCTGTGGTCGGTTGTGGAGATGCTGCCCGGTGAGGCTCGCGTTGTTGCGATCGGGCCGAGTGCGCCCGGTCATGGCCCGTGGATATGCCAAGAAAGCCCGTGAGTAGACCGAACATGGCCCCTCTGATTAACCTGTGGTAGGTCTCTAGGCCCCGAGCCCCGAGCCCCGAGCCCCGAGCCCCGAGCCCCGAGGGGAGATCGGCCTTCCCTGAGGCTGCGGATTACCATCCCCGGACCAGGCACTGCACACCCCTCTCCCACCCCAAAACCCCGCCATTCAGCCGGTACTGGGCAGCACACGCTTCCCCTCCCGGCAATCCCCACTATGTGGCCGGGGGCCAGCCAATGCTCTCCAGCCCCTAGACTAGGCCGCACAGTGCATCGTTATTCCTGCCTAGACCCTCCCCATTTGCCCCCCACCCCCAAGATGGACAGTATTGGGGTACACAGGCCGACTTCGCTTAGGACTGGGCAGTATTGCTCTACCCATCTTCACGCCTTTCCCCAGAGTGGGCAGTGTTGCAGCACACATCCCACTTTCTGGAGACTGGGCATTGGGGCGGCACGGTGGCTCAGTGGTTAGCACCAGGAACCCGGGTTCGATTCCACCTTCGGGTGACTGTGTCTGTGTGGAGTTTGCACGTTCTGCCTGTGTCTGCATGGATTTTCTCCGGGTGCTCCGGTTTCCTCCCACAGTCCAAAAACGTGCAGGCTAGGTGGATTGGCCATGCTAAATTGCCCGTAGTGTTCAGAGATGTGTAGATTAGGTGGGTTATCAGGATGGGTCTGGGTGGGATGTCTGAGGGTCAGTGTGGACTTGTTAGGCCGAAGGGCCTGTTTCCACACTGTAGGTATTCTATGATTATTTGGGTACACAATCCTCACCCCTCCCAGCACATTGGGCAGTTTTGGGGTACATAGCCCACAGATTCCCACCACCACCAACCAAGCAACACGACAGGAGTACCTCATGAAGCCTCAAACCCTAACCTTGCCCCCGCATTCTGAGTACTTCCAAGACTCTACAGAATCACTAGACACCTCCGCCGAACAGTACTGAAGGACACAGATTTCTCTCCCTTTCTCCAATCTGCGTCATTAATGTATTGGTGAAAGCAATCGCCATCCAGTTTCAATGCACAACTTTCATAACAAATGATTAGCTTAGTTCAGAGATAGTAGGAACTGCCGATGCTGGAGAATCTGAGATAACAAGGTGTAGAGCTGGATGAACACAGCAGGCCAAGCAGCATCAGAGCAGCAGGAAAGCTGACGTTTCGGGTTGAGACCCTTCTTCAGAAATCATTCAGAAATTCTTTCTGAAGAAGGGTCTTGACCCTAAATGTCAGCTTTCCTGCTCCTCTGATGCTGCTTGGATTAGCTTAGTTCGTTGGCTTCAGAAATATTTCAGAAGGTCCTGAAGATGCCAAATCATTCTTGATATTTTCTTTGTATAATTCCAGCTGTCAAGGGGAAAGGAAAGATGGGAGTTAAAGAAGTTCTGCAAGGCCCAGAGGTTTGTAAGGATCCTGAAATTTTGACCACTCATGCTGTGGGTGTTAATATTTACAAACAAGGCAAGGATCCAGAACTGCGGCCAGACACGGAATACCCTGAGTGGTGAGTTTTGCCCCTTATCCAGATACTTATTGTGCTTTCTTTACTTCCTTTTGATTGTCCTTTGATCGAGTATAGGTGTGGGTACCTTGCTGTAGTAATGGTCTGTAGTCATGGTTTTGGGGTCATCATCCTCTTGTCCGATACTCATCTGTAGATTCATTGTTATTAGTCATGATAATTTCAACTTTTTAATCCAGTCCCAGTTCTTTCTCTATATTTCTCCATATCTTTACTTCTTGAGTATATTCAACAAAGTGGGAAGTGTAAAATATTGGTTATCTTAGTGGACTCATCATCCTGAGGTCTGAACTAACAATCCAAAGACACGAGTTGAAATCCTCCATCGTTGCAATCAGTCTCTTTAAATTCAGTTAAAATGCTAATATCAGTAATTGTGACTATCGATTTGTGGTAAAACTTGCATGAAAGAAGGGGCTCTGCAGCATTTCTTAGAAGTTTTGGGATTTTTTGATGCTCTGATAGTGTTATTGTCTCTGGGCTGAAAGATCTGTGTTAAAGCCCCACCTTTTTAAAATTAATTTGCAGGATGTGGGTGTCGCTGGCCAGACCAGCACTTCTTATACACGACATTGATGAGGCCACTTGGTGTGCTGTGTACAGTTGTGGAAGTATATATTTGAGAGTTCTTCTAATGGAAACATAAGATTCTTAAGGGATTGACAGGTTCGATACTAAGAAAATCTTTCCCCAGTTGGGCGGCACAGTGGCTCAGTGTTAGCACTGTTGCCTCACAGCACCAGAGACCCGGGTTTGATTGCAGCCTCGGGTGACTGTCTGTGTGGAGTTTGCACATTCTCCCTGTGTCTGCAGGGGTTTCCTCCGGGTGCACCAGTTTCCTCCCACAGTCCAAAGATGTGCAGGGTAGGTGGATTGGTCATGCTAAATTGCCCATAGTGTTCCAGGATGTGTAGATTAGGTGGGTTATAGGTGTAAGGGTCTGGGTGGGATGCTCCAAGGGTCGATGTGGACTTGTTAGGCTGAAGGGCCTGTTTCCATACTGTAGGGATTCTATGATTCTATCAGCTGGGGATTCATAGAGCCACAGTCTCCAGAATAAGGGACCAGCTTAGGACTGAGATGAGACATCTGTAAATAGTTTGTGACCCTTTGGAATTTTCATCTCCAGAAATGCTCCATTTTTGAGTATATTCAAGACAGGGGCTGATAGGTTTTTAGATACTAAGGGCAATAATGAGGATAGTGTAGCAGGTGGAGTTGAGGTAGACGATTAGCCACAGTTGTGTTGAATGTCAGAGCAGGCTCAAAATACCAAATGACCAGTTGCTCCCATTTCTGTTGTTATTGTTTGTGTTTCTCCCGTTTTTAAGCACTTCAGTTAAATGGCTGATTTAATGCAATGATTTCTGGAATCTTTTAGCCCTTTATGTGGAACAGCTTTTCCCAATGTTTAATTGGCTTAATTCACATTCTGTCCCCTTCAAATCATAAGGGTCTTTAGCATAGACAAAGGCTTTCTGGCCCATTGTTTTTCAGCAGCACAGACTCAATCATCTAACTATTCTAATCCCATTTTCCAGCACTTGGCCCATAGCCTTGTGCACTTTGGCATCGCAAGTGCACATCCAAATACTTAAATGTTATGAGGGTCTCTGCCTCTAAAACACTTCGAGACAGAGTGTTCCAGATTCCCACTACCCTCTAAGTGAAAAATGTTTTCCTCATATCCCCTCTCACAGGCACTTACGGGGACTGTGTTGAACTGTTAACAGGGTTTCTTTATTTTTCTCCCTTTTGGTACAAAAAATTGTAATGCTTATCTTTTTTAACTTTATTTTCCTTATTTTTCTGTTTTGTACCTATGATTCTATTGCTAGGTACCTTTGTACCTAATATGGTGCCATTAAGTGGTGATATATAAACCTTTCTCTCTGCTCCTGTGAGTACATGTAACAATAAACCTAATTCTAAACATCCTGCCCCAACCTTACTTTTATGCCCCCCTGCATCAAGGGAAAATGTTTCTTCGTGTCTACCCAATCAATACTCTATTTAATTTTATACATCAAAATCAGGTACCCCCTCAGTCTCCTCTGTTCCAAGGTAAACAACTCCAGTCTATCTCTTCATATCTAAAAATACTTGTAGACACCCTTATAAAATGCTAAATTGACCCCAATCAGTTTGTCAGTTTCTGTCATTGTGTTAAATATCCCACCCTGTGCCAGGAAGCATGAATGTGAATATAGTCTGTAAGAATTTTGGGGTGGGGGTGTGGTGCTGATTTTTTTTCTGTATTATCCATTGATGTGTATATTGTTCAACGTTTATAGGAGCTTAGTGGCTATGTTGTTGGAAGATTAACCTGGCTTTTCAAATTCACCAGGGTAAGTGTGTGGGGACGGACAAAAAATTGGCATTAAATCCACACTTGGATCAGTCATCGAATGGCACATAGGCTTAATGGACTGAATGGCCTACTCCTACTTCTTATGATCTTGCGCAATTAAGTTCACTTTTACAGGGAGTTGGTAAGATAACTACGAGAGTATTGCATTTAGGTATTTTCTAATCAGCTTTCGGGGATGCTATGACACACCACTGGAGCAGGTGAGACTTGAACCTGGGTCTTGAATTCCATCAGTCAAGTCAACCTTAAAGCCTGCCAATTATTGAGGGGAAAAAGGACCCAACTGGTTGACTGATGTCATTCATTTAAAGAAACGTGGGCCCTTACACAGCCCCACCTTGCCTCTCGTGTCTTGTGAAAGAACCTACCATGTCACTCAGTTCGCTTCCAATGGGGTGGGCAACAAATATGGAATTTCCAGCATCCTGAGAACATTCATGGAAACCTTTGCCAGGTTATAGGGACTGTGACTTTAATTGGGGACAAATAAACAAGCTAGATTTTTGAAAAAAAAACCTTCTCCCCCTTGAGATAACAAGGTGTAGAGCTGGATGAACACAGCAGGCCAAGCAGCATCAGAGCAGCAGGAAAGCTGACGTTTCGGGTCTGGACCCTTCTTCTCTCCCTTGAAGTCTTTTGTCTGCCATCAGCTAATTCAGCGTGTGTTTGATATTAGCCTAGCTGCCTTTTCCAGCTCCTTGCTGCAGTGAGTTTCCACTTTAGCCCATCAGGGGGAGCCCCTGAGCTGGCATTGGTTTATTGTGATTGCCTTGCACAGACAACAAATAGATTTATTTCATAAATGAATGTCTTGTAGGTTGTTTACACTGAACCTTGGTCCGCCAAAGAGTTTGGATGAACTGGACCCAGAATCTTGGGAATACTGGAAACTGATTAGAAAACAGCACATGTGGCAAGACAACAAAGTTCGCAAAGGAAAGAAACTCTAGAAAACTCTTAAGGATATTGGACTCGGATATCCATTTTCCAAAAATGAGGATTGCGGTCTGAAGGAGAGAATTCAAATCACAGCCATCCTGTGTTACTTACACTGAGATCAACAGACAACACGCACTGCCGTAATGTGAAAGAATTCAGTCTGTGTTCCAAAGGAATTGAGTCTGTGATCCATGGACATGTGTGATGTGATTCAGACAGTGCTACTTGGGAAAAATGTGTTTAACATTTTCACTTATTGGTGGATTATGCAGAATAAAAATAGCAATTTATGGAAATATTTTTTCTCTTATTTTCTTATTTAGAATCCCAATGGCTCTGACCCTCAAGGGTACTGGTTCCATGAACCCTTGTGTTGACAGATTCTGATTATCAGCGAAGTACAGTTTCTGTTAGCCTTGAACCCCAAAGAGGGACAAACACTGGATATTAACCTTGAGAAAGGTGCAGGGTCGTTGGGCTTTGAACTTCAGAGAAGTTAGTTTTTTAAGATACTTTCTAACCAACCTGTTCAGGGGTTTTACTACACATCTTTGGAGCAGGTGGGAAGACCTGAGCCTCCTGCCTCAGATGTATAGACACTACAAGTACCACAAGAACCTTACTTAGTTTTTTATTTGTTCATGGAATGAAGGCATTGCTGGTGAGCAAGTTTTTATTGGCCATCCCTAATTGCTGCTTGAACTGACAGGCTATTTCTTAGAATCCTTATAGTGTGGGGACAGGCCATTTGGCCCATTGAGTCCACTCCGATCCTCCGAAGAGCATCCCACCCTATCTCTGCATTTCCCACCCTAGACATTGTGGTCAATTTAGCATGGCCAATCCAACTAACCTGCACAACTTGGGATTGTGGGAGGAAACCGGAATACCTGGAGGAAACCCACACAGACATGGGGAGAATGTGCAAACTCCACACACAGTCACCCGAGGCTGGAATTGAACCCAGGTCCCTGGTGCTGTGAGGCAGCAGTGCTTACCACTGAGTCACCGTGTCGCCCTTAGAGCACATTAAGAGTCAATCGCATTGTTGTGGGATTGGAGTTACATTTAGACTAGACCAGGTAAGGGTGGCAGATTTCCTTTCCATTAAATGGGGTTAGCGACCCAGTTTATTTTTTTACAACAATCAGCCATGGCTTAAATGTTGTCATTATGCTGGCTTTTATTTCTCTATTTTTATTGAATCAAGTCTCACCATCTACTGTGATGGGATTTGAGCCTATGGCTCCAGAGAATTAGTATGAATCTCTGGATTACTAGTGCAGCAACAATACAACTACATCACCACCTCCCCTTATTCTGAGAGTTCTGACTCTCCACGGGATATAGGTTCTGTCAGCCTTGACCCTCAGAGAGTATTGATCCAGTGTGTCCTGATGCTCGCACCTCAGGTTCAGCATGTCCTGATGGGGTATTGATTCAGTGCGCCCTGATGCTCAGACAGTTCACGTTCTATGGGTCCTGATGCTCGGAGGGATACGTGTTCTTTGGCAGGGGTGAGGTTGCTGCTCTGATGGAGCTGTTGTACAGATATGTTCTAACTGAATGACAGAATGGGCATGAAGGGATGAATGGCCAATATTCCATGCCTTGGCTTATTAGACCATGTGTCATTGTGTAATTCATTTCACTTTCTGCTATTCTCCAGGGAGAGTGAAGGAATGAAAACAGCAACTATTGAAGGGCATTAGTAAATCTGCTCAGCTGAAGCCTGAATGAATACATCAAATGAATTCCCCTGCGTGCACAATAGTGGGACTGCAGACCAGTACAATCTAGTGTGAGATTAATGCTTCCTGTGTCACATAGAGTCAAGAGTTCAGTTTTGAATTGTACAATATCTCAGTATTATAGTGGTGTCCGTGGGTAGGTGCGTTTCAAGCAACCTGCCTTGGAGGCACTAATCTCACCTATAAAGCAGCTAAGCCAGAACCCAGCAAAAGATTGGCTAAATTAGATCAACTTGAGAGACGAAGGCCAGTTTCATTAAACCTTTTCAGAAGACTAGCACTGCTACTGCTACAGGGCAGAGAGAAGAAAAACATTGATAAAAGAACTATGATGGTGTGATGTGAGGATATCAGATTTGGGGAACTTGGCATGGCGATATTTTGAGTAACTTTACTGATGTTGCTTTGATGTCACTTTGGGTCACAAGTGATCAACTGGGAACAAACTATCTAGGATGGGTCAGTAATTGACTAATTGAGAAAAGATTGATCACTATTATTCAGAACCTTGATATCATGTGACTACCAGGATGGTAGAAGGCAAGGGGAGGTGATGACCTGGTAGTATTATTACTAGACTATTAATCCAGAAACTCGACTGTTGTTCTGGGACCTAGTTTTGAATCGCACCATGGCAAATATATTCAACAATATGTCTGGATTAAAAATCTACTGGAATTAAAAACTGTTAAGAATCCAATCACTGTCAATTGTTGGAAATAACCTGCTCAGCGATGTCCAGTTTGGGTTCTGTCAGGACTACTCAGCTCCTGACCTCATTACAGCCTTGGTTCAAACATAGACAAAGAGTTGAATTGCAGAGGTGAGGTGAGAGCAACAGTCCTTGGCATCAAGGAGTCCTAGCAAAACTGGAATCAGTGTATATCAGGGGTCAAATTCTCTGCTGGTTAGAGTCTTATCTAGAACATAGGAAGATGATTGTGGGTGTTAAAGGTCAGTCATCTCAGCTCCAGGACATCTCTTCAGGAGTTCCTCAGGATAGTGTCCTAGGCCCAACCAACTTCAGTTGCTTTATCGATGACTTCCCTCTATCATAAGGTTTGAAGTGGGGATGTCCACCAGTGATTGCACAATGTTCAGCAGTATTCACGGTTCCTCTGATACTTGAACAATCCATATTCAAATGCACCAAGACCTGGACAATATCCAGGCTTGGGCTGAGAAGTGGCAAGTAACATTTGGCACACAAATGACAGGCAATGACCATGTCCAATAAGGGACAATTTAACCACTGCCCCTTTACATTCACTATCAACATCCTGGGGGTTACCGGAAACTCAACTGGAGTCGCCACTTAAACACAGTAGCTACAAAAGCAGGTAAGAGGCTAGGAGTACTATGGCGAGCAACTCACCTCCTGACTCCACAAAGCCTATCCACCATCTATAAGGCACAAGTCAGGATTGTGATGGAATATTCCCCATTTGTCTGGAACAAATGCAGCTGCAACAACACTCAAGAATCTTGACACCACCCAGGACAAAACAGTCTGCTTGATTGACTCCACATTCACAAGCATCCTTCCTTCCACCACCGACACTCCGTAGCAGCAGTGTGTACTATCTACAAGATACACTGCAGAAATTCACCAAAGATTCTTAGACAGCACCTTCCAAACCCATGATCACTTTCACCTAGAAGGACAAGGGCAGCAGATACATGGGATCACCACCACCTACAAGTTCCCCTCCATGTCACTCAGCATTCTGACCAGAAAATATATCGCCCTTCCTTCACTGTTATTGGGTAAAAATTGTGGAATTCCCTCCCTAATGGCATTGTGGGTCAGCCCACAGAAGGTGGACTGCAGCGGTTCAAGAAGACAGCTCACCAAAACCTTTTATTGCTCCTGCCTAATTACCATTTAAATGCTGATCAGCCAGCTACATCCATCTGCCATGAGTGAATTACAAAGAAAATGTTAGGTCAAGATTAGCCTGAATCTTTGGGCAAAGTGGTGGAGTCCCTACCTCTGAGCCAGGACACCTCGGTTCAAGTTCCACCTGCTCCAGGGTTGTGCTTTAACTGGTTGATTAGAAAATATCTAACCTGAACCATTGTGCTGTTGTGGCACAGTAATAGAGTTCCTATCCCTGAAGCCAAAACATCTGGATTCAAGTCCAACCTGTCTCAGATGTATGTAATTATCATCTCCGTCAGGTTGATAAAAAAGCTAGGGGGAGTGAGGTACTGTCCCTATCTCTGTGTCACGAAATTTGAGTTCAAGTCTCACCTATTTCAGAGGTGTGTAAATAACATCTCTGAAAACGTTGTCAGAAAAGCAGCAGCCAATTTCCATCCAGCAAGCTCCCAAATACAACAATGTGCTGATAACCAGGTAGCCTATTTTTAAAAATACATATTTATAACAACTAGAGTCAATTATCAAGTCAACAAAAGCCTGACTCTTTGGGATCTTGTGATACAGTGGTAGAGTCCCTACTCTGGAGAAGGAGACCAGGGTTCAAGCTCCACTTGCTCCAAAAGTGTGTAATAGCATCTCTGAACAGTTTCATTAGAAAATATCTGGCTTGACTGGATTCTGTCACAATGGCCAACCATAGTTTAAAGTAGGGTTTTGTTATTAGCCAGACTTTGAAGGCTCTGGAGTACGAATCACCTGTTAATCTCTACTCAACATCGAGATCAGTGACTTGAGTGTGTGAACGTGACCTGTGTTTCTACAGGCTGAGAAACCAGTTGAAGCTGGGAAAGTAATCTTTCCAAGTTTAATTATACTTTTTTCTTTAACAAACTTCCTAAAATTTGCTCTCAAAAGTGTCCTGTTTTGATTTATAGTTTAGTCTCATTGGGCTTGCAAATTATTGGCCAATTGGAGTGGCTGAAGTTAATGGACAAGTTACAGTTGCTTTTTTCCCCACATTTCTGAGTTTTTCCAGAGTTGTACAGTGAAAGAACTGTGCTCGAGAGTTGTTGACTCATTCTGCCTGTATTAACGTTTTCTAAAATTGATTAGTCAGCAAATCTTATTATTTTTCATTTTCCATCTTTCCACAGAGACTTATCTGGTAAATACTGTGTTGAGCCATATGGATCAGAGGGTGTCATTCTGAGTGTCTCATCCTGTGTTAACTTAGATTATCTGAATCAGGGCAGTAGTTAAAATAATTAACCTCAACATGCGTACCTGACAGAACAAGGATCAAATTCAGACAGTTCCAATCCTGCTCAATGGGATATTGAGTTTGATATGTATTCCTTCCCCTGTCTACTCTGCCCTGGAATGAGATCAGCTAACTCAATTAGAAACAGTGATTAAATCTGTTATTTGCATGTTGGGAGAGATGTTGGAGTAATGATAATGTCACTAGGCTAGTAATCCAGCAGTTCAGGCTAATGCTAGGGGATATGAATTCAAATTGCATCACAAATTAAAGTCAACTAATGAAGTCTAAATTAAAAGTAGTCTAAATAATTGTGTCTACAAAACCAGCATCTATTCACCAATCATCTGATTCATTAATGTCCTTTAGGGAAGGAAATCTGCTGACCTTACCTGGTCT